AAAATCAGTTTAAATTGATGTGAATCTACTCTTCCTTATGATTATAAACCATATCCAAAGTCTACACATTTCTGGGGGCATAACCTCTATTATTCCCTGATTATTCAATACGTGACTTTGTATACAGTTTAATAAAAATTTAATTTTCAAATTGAATGGTTTTTCTTGTATTAATTAATAACTAAATAATGTTATGTAAAGCTTCTATTTCTTTGAATAATATTTTTTGAGCATTACATCCCTTTCCCACCCCTTTGGATGTATTGACTTTTATAATTTAAAAGACAAATGAAATGACATTTAATGTCGAATTCAATGGCATTAACCGGAAGAACCAGTATTTTGTTTAAAAATCTTGTTTTTTGTCCACAAATCTTGAAATATTACTCTTTTTAAGAGCCGTTACTTTAATTTTATAAATTTATAAAAGTTTTGTCTTTAATAAAAGTGTCGTTTCTATTTAAAACAACAAAAAAAGTTCAAAATCTATTTTAAGATATTTAATAACTGAACACAAAAAATGAATTTCAATCTCCAATGCTTTGTAATGTGTTTAACAATTGGCGTCACTTTAGGCATAGAAGAGCTCATTGAATGCAATACAAAGGCCAGAGAAAAGATGGATCAGTTGGCGATGGAATTGTCCACATTTGGCGACCCCAACGGTAAATACCCGACCAGTCAAAGTCAATTAGAAATATACTGCAAGTGAGTCCACAAAATCGTGTACTGTATTCCCAACCATATGTCTTAATTGTTTGAAAAATATTATTACATAATAGGAATGATAGGGAACGGATCCAATGGTTCAAACGTTACATCGAGAAGTGTCTGAATGGGTTGGCATATGATGTGACATCGATGGCCATCAAAGACATGGAGAGCGTAACCAAGAAATACTGCGATTCACCTCGACTCAACAAACTATTCATTTCGTGGTCTACTTGTGGTAACAGCGCTATCAATGAGACGGTCAAGTGTTGGAAGCAATATATCTTAGATCAGGAAAGGATTAACTTAGGGAAGGATGGCATCGTCAACAAGGATAGGGCGGCACTCATATGCTGGTCAGTCAGTCACTTCCACATCTCCTCATAGATGATGAATAAAGTTATTTCTTGTTTGTCGACAGCACTTACCATCGATTCGATCACTGCATCGAAGAGTCATTCCTCCGAATGGGAGAAGTGTTGTGTCCGACGGCGACCTCCTCAGGCCTCCACTCCATACTCACTGAGATCTCCGGCCGACTGATTGAGAGCTTCTGCGGTGACTATCAGGCCGACAACGATAAGTGTGATTCAATTCATAGTAAATATCAATATTTAAATGACATTCAACTGAAGGCACCGTTAGATAAATCGCCGATCGAGTCATTCATAAAAATCATTGAGAGTTGGCCTGAATTTGTCGACTTTTTCAAGTCAGACAATAAGACAACTGAGCCGTCAATTATCTTCTAAACCCATTTCTAACTTAATTTAAATTATTTATTAATTTCAGTAAAAATATACTCAATTCAGTATTTATTTGAATAAAAGATTTTTTGTGTAAAATTATGTCTCAATTCTATCGATTTGTCCGAAAATCCATTTACGATAATAAATAACATTAGTGTAAACCCCGGGAATCCTAACGGTTCCACATTTGCGACCAAATGATACAATGCCTATGAGATGGTGTACACCACTTATGGTGATAGTCATCGGCCCTCCTTTTAATATTTATTTATTTTCTTATATTGAACAATCAGTACGTATCTGTATCTCACCTGAATCTCCCTGACAGGCATCTGATCCTCCAGTAGGACTGCCACATATCATACATTCCTGTATACCAATTGGTATATTATGTTTGTCTCCAATGTCATACATTTGCGCGCAGTCTTTGTTGGAAACTATTTCGACTTTTATTTGCTTCAAAGTTTGCGATAAGAAACCGCCATAATATGTGTCCCCAAATCCAATAACTGTTCCCAATTGGCCCACCAGTTGATCAGTACTGATATCAGATCCAGGAATACAAATAATGTCTACTGTTTTGTCAAGTTTTATGGCATTTTTAGTGACAATGAGTGCGATGTCATGATAAGACTCGGACTGGAAGTACAACTCATGTCTTACTATTCGAGAAACGGATATCTTTTGGCCTTCGCTTAAGCGATTGGAACCGATTCTTATGGAGTAAACACTAGAATCACTTGAATATAAATTAAACTTTTAAACATTGTTTAAACAAATTAATGATTTTGAATTAATTTACAAAAGTGGTCGAAAGCAATGAGCGGCGGTCACCACAATGTGCTCCGTAATGATAGCACCGCCACAGATATGACTCTCAAACGCCTGGACGGATGTCATCCATGGGTAGTGACTCTCTGCTA